TCAAGGTAGTGAACATATCCATCAGTTTATGAACTTATTTTTGGGGTGTACTGGTGTACATCTGTAATTGCAGCACTTTGGAAACTGAGGCAAGAGAATCTCCATAAACTTCAAGGCCAGTCTAAACTACATAGTGAGACCCTGTCTCAAAAAAAAAGATTTATTTTTAAAATGAGAATACTTAATAAGTGTTATTGTTGTAGCAACTTTGAAATATGTGACACATTAACTATGGTCACCATGCTATCTCCCTAATTAAAAATGGGAACCCTTGTTCAATATCTTTCTATGGGAGAAAATGTCTGCAAATCATAATCTCACAGGAGGTTAATATGGGTAAAGAACTTGAGGGGACATTTCTCAAAAGAAGACATAGGTAGTCTCAAAAAGACAAAAAAAATCTTAAAAAGTCTCAAAAAGATAAAGAAAAAAATCTTAGCCAGATGTGATGGTGCACTCTTGTATTCCTGGCACTCGGGAGGCTGAGATAAGCAGACCATTGCAACTTTGAGACCAGCCTGGAGTACAAAGTGAGCCCAAGGCCAGCCTGAACCACATAGTAAGACCCTGTCTGAAAAAAACAACCTAAAAAGAGATAGGTAAACATGACCCACAGGCTTATAAAGTAGACCTCATTTTAAAATGAGGGCAAATTGTTTCTTTCTTTTAAATTTTATCAGTACATGTTCAAAGTTCAAGCAGTTTACAATCATCTTGGAGACTGGTTACATGTACATAACACCATTTGTTTCTTTTTTAAAATCTCTTTCCCCTCTCCTCTCTCTGCTCCAATTTCCCTATCCCATTTTTCATTCTTGTTAATATTATTAATTTTAGTCATGTTTATGGGACATAATGTTTGCATTAATTGAGGTCATTAGGTTTCTGTGCATGGCATATCTTTATGCTACTTATTTCCCTTCCCCCTCCTCCTCACCTCTCACAGTTTTTTCTTTAGATCACTTCTCCATTGTAAGAGATTTGTCTCCTTTGTCCCCTTCTACCCCTTCTTTATTATTCTTTTTGTACTTTGTCTCAGTCAGATGAGAGATACTATCTGTAACTTAAGCTTGTGTGTCTGGTTTATTTCACTTAACATTATGTTTTCCAGGTGTATCCATTTTCCTACAAATGTCTCCAACCTTTCATTCTTTAATAACAGAGTAGCACATTTCTGTGTCTAATCATCTGTTAATGGGTATACAGGCTGTTTCCAGGATTCAGCTATTACAAACTGTGCTGCTCTAAACGTTGGTATGCATGTATCACTATGTCTTAAGCTGTTTGGGGAAGACACCTAGCAGGGGGATAGCTGTCATAATTTTTTTCAAATGGTTGAAACTACAGAATATGGAATGTGAGGATGTAGAAGGCTTGCATATATTCTGAAAGTTTACTATACTTTCCAATAGTAGATGTAAGGTATGGGATAACAGCATTTATTAAGGTGGAGAACACTGAGGGAGAAGCAGATTTGAAAGAAAATTGTTTAGTTTTAACCATATGAAGGTGGCCCCTGCCATCCAGTGACTGCAATAAAGGAGAAAAACCACAGTTTAGTATATCAGTACTGAATATGAATGCTGCCTTAGTAAGTTACAATAAGAGAGTGATAAAACTATACATCATGGGAGATGGAATTAGTATTACTATAATTATGAACTGTTAAATATACATACGTTTCAAGTAAAAGGTTAGGTATATTCCATAGTGTTCTGGATTTCATGTTTTTTGGATTTTTACATTTATATGTAATGTTTACAGGTATATAGTTAGATGCTTTGAAGAATGGACCCTAGTCTAAAAACTGAAATTCATTTATACTTCACGCACATGAAATCAGGATGGACTTTTCCATTTTTGCTGTCATGTGGCACTCAAAAAGTTTTAGATTTTGGGAAATTTCACAGTTTGGAATTTTAAATTAGAGTTATTTAATCTGTATGTGGAATACAGGACCTAGTGAAAGACTGCTGAAGATCTGAGATACTTCTAATATATTACTTTGTGAACACCCTATTTCATTAATGGTTACACATAATAGTTTTCAGTAGTGTAAAAAGTCAGATGTTACTAGTTTTCTCATTATGTATTTTCCTATGACTTCTGTTTTGTACTTAAATATATTTCATACTTTTAATTCATATTTTTAAAACTTTGAAGTCTAAAATCTTGGATAAAATTATTACTGAAAACTATTAACAGTTATTACTAAAGAAGCAAGGAAAGCACCTTCTCAAATGCTTTAATAATCTTATATGAGCTTCATTAACAATTCACGTAGATACTGCACAAGAGGTTGTTTGGTAGCAAACACAATCTCAGCACTCCTGGAAGCTGTAGCTAGAGGATTCCAAATTCAAACCACAGCCCAGATAATTTAGTGGCTTAGTGACATTCTGCCTCAAAATAAAATATAAAAAGGCTTGGAAGGCAAGTATGGTTGTACACACTTATAATCCCAGTATTTGGGAGGAAGCTAATGCAGAAAGATTGCTGCCAGCCTGGCTACTGAAGTAAGATTTAAAAAGGAAAAGTCTAGCTTCCCAAACTTCCTCATCCCTACAGTTGTTCTTTGTTCTAATACAGATTTAAGCAATAACTTTTTTTTTTTTTTTTGAGATAGGGGCTTGCTGTGTAGCTCAGCCTGACCCAAGCTATTCTCGAACTCACAGCAATCTTCTTGCCTCAGCCTTGAAAGTGCTGGGATTACAGGCATGTGCCCCCACGCCTGGCTAAAAGCAGTAACTTTTGACTCTGTAAGTGAAATTTAATAACTTCCTGTTCCCATAACATCCTGTTATGCCCAAGCAGGGCCACCAAGATACAAAACTGTCAGGGCTTGACAAACTGCCTTTGTTCTCCTTCTACCCACCGATGAGTTCCATGCTGAAGACCAACCTCCTTGACCAAATGTATAAAAGCTGGAACCTCTCCTTTGTCCTTTGCTTAACTTTTTTTGGACTTAACAGTTGAGTAAATGGACATCTAAAAATAAATCCTCCTGTTTTCCCCTTTGGTCTATCCTATCTCTTAAGTCCTGCAACACTAGGTAGTGAGTTCAAGGACAGTCTGAAGTATACAATGAGATCCTCTCTCCAAAAAAAAAAAAAAAAAAAAAAAGATTGAGGATGTAGCTCAGTGTGAAGGCTCTGCATTCCATCCCTGGTTAGGCCAAAGGATAGTGGATTATGGATATAAATGATAGCTAAAGTGAAAAACAAAAATAAGTGGGAAATGGTGTTAAATCATAAATAAACTGCATTATATTTAGACTTATTACTAGCAACGTTTCTAAACAAACATAATAATGGTGGTATAATGAACAAAATGGGAATTTGAGTCCCAAATGTATTTTTTCGAGACAGGGTCTTACTATGTAGTTCATAGCTAAGGCTGTTCTCAGACTTGCTTCGATCTTCCTGCCTCCAGGTCCTGGGATTACACGTGTAGCTGAGTAAGACTGCCTTTGCAGTTGTCTTCCAACTGACCTTTCCTTTTTAATTTTTATTAGTATATGTTTACAATTTTCACAGATGAACCATTCTCATACATGTAAAATACACATTAAGTACTATTGTACATTTTTTTTTTGTCTTCTTGAGAAAGGGTCTCTCTATGTGGTTTAGGCTGGCTTTAGGCTCACTTTGTAGCCCAGGTTGGTCTCGATCTCGAAATGATCCTCTTGCCTCAGCCTCCTGAGTGCTGGGATTGCAGGAGTATGCCCACACACTCGGCTTATTGTACATTTTAAAGGGTGGCATTCATTTTTTTTCTCAATTATTTTATTTATTAGTATGTTTATAGTACTCAATGATTACAGTCACTGTAGGCATTTGGTCCAGGAACATTACGCATCTTAATTTTCTTTACATCTTCCCATTAGCCTTTCAGAAATCTTTTATGGACCTCATCGGTTCTATTCGTTGTATATTGTCAACTGTCAATCAATGTTGCCTTCGTAGGGTGCAAATGTGTAATACATAGGTTTTCACAACCCACCTGCTTTTCGTTTTGAAATAGAAACCAACCATCATATTCGCAGGGGTGTTATGTAGGCTAACCTTTCACCCTCATCTGGTACTGCTTTTCTCCTACTCCAAATTTTCTTTCCCCAGCTCTCAGAACTACTTCCCTAATGCTCAATTTAAGCTCCTGTGGGCTTTTTAGACACTTGCAAGTCCAACTCTTGTTTCACCTGGACGCAACCTTATTAAACTTCTCAGAGCGCCCTCGCATTCTCCTACACGCCTGTCATTTCACCCCTTTGTGATCATCTTATCACATTTAAATTATTACCGCATTTAAATTCTGTTCACCTGTCGGTCTTTCATAGACTGTTAATACCAGGAAGGCAGTGTTCGCATATCGAAAATGACACTGGCCAGGAGTTTTGATCCAAAGATAATACTTAATCCGCCATGAGGCTTATTTTTCTAATATTTCATACATTTTCGCCCTGTTGGAGCTGATCCTCCCTTGAGCCACATTTTCAGGTGGGAACTCAATTGTCAATACTCCCAGTCCTCAGCCTGCAGAACTTCTGGTAACAACGCGTACACAAATTGGTATGATCCAAGAGCGAGTGCTCTGCTCTCTAGACAGTGAGCTGCAGAAAAGACCCTTAGGAACCACTGGGTTCCCACGAAAGCAGCCAGATTCATAGAGTTCCAGCCCCGGGAGAGCTCAACACACTACCTCTTTCAGCGCGCCAAGTCGTTAGCCCCACCCCGTCCACCTCAGCTCCACCCACTTGGCGCGCCCACACTTACTAAACCTTGGCCGCCCGGGGCTGACAAGTTCCTAAGCCCCGCCTCCGGGGCGAAGGCGCGTTCTCCCTCCCACCTCGGTCCCAAGCAGTTCCGTTAATAGCGAGGAAAAAAAATTGTCCTTTGCGTCCCCGCCTCTTCAATCCTAACGCTTTACTCCCTACTCCCCCTGCGACCACTACACCATCGGCTACGGAGGCCCCTAAAGTACAAATATCCCCCAGGCCCTACCGCAGCATGATAGGTTTTTGTCTTTTCTTGTCTCCACCCATTCCTGAGGGGCGCTCTTCATTTTTTGTCAAGAATCTGGATTCGAGACTTTCTTCGGACCTCAGGAAATCCAACCTTTACAACAAATAAAAAGCTACCCTCCCACCCCGCCCTCTTCGGCCGCCCGCATTCCTTCCCTCCCACCTCGTTGAGTAGAAGCCGGAGGCGGAGGAAGTCAGAGCGCCTGCGCGGGGAGGCCGCTTTCCATCCGGGTCCCTGTCTGTGCGGTGCAGCAGGTCGGTAGGCGGGAAATGGCGACTGGCTGAAGGAGCTGGTTGTGTTGCTGCTGCGGGCTAAGCGGGAAGGACACCCCACATTGCGCAGTCGGGACCATCGCCGGAGCCTGAGGACACTTCTCTGTCGTCATAGTGAGGTAATCCCTTTCGTCCAGACGTTGCCGTTGCCGCCAGCCTTAGTCCTCCTCTTCCAGGGCCGCCTGCCGGATCTCCTCCCGCTCTCTGCCGGTCTTCAGCGGCTCCAATGTACTGGTAGGCATGCAGTGTTTGGCGCCGCGTCCGTTCACTCAATGTAGCCGCTCTTCTGTGGACTTTTTCCTGGGAACGGAATGAAAGCTCACTTCCCGCCAGCTTCAGCGCTTGGGCTGAGGCCTGTGTAGTGATTTCTGGGGTTAGATTTCACTTTGCTACCCACCCCCACACCGATGTCTGGTTCCTGGTCACCAGGCGTGTGGTCCCCCTGAGTCTGTAAGTTAGTCATTACCTTTTCTGATCCTCTTGACCTACCTGGTGTTTTCAGTATTTCTGTTAGGTTGCTTTTAGGGAGGGGTTGCTCTGTTTCAGTTCCTGTAAGTATCTTTTGCGAGTCTGGAAAAAGGGATTTCACGGTGTAGTGTTCATCTTCTGTACTGCTAAAATGTTGAGTTGACATTGTTACTTTTTCAGATCAAAAGTGCTAGTAAAGAACAGACCGTGTGAGAGGGCTCTGGTTCCCATAGTAAGCAGCTAAGGTTGAATTTTACTGAACTTAATATTCTATTTTCTTTGCGTATTAAATGCCTGTATGATTGTTTACTTTTGTATTCTTGACTAGAAGTCTGTGGTATATAATTACATAAATAAATCGTATTTGTTTACTTCTCACCCTAGTGGTAGCTGAATGTGTAAATGAGGTTAAGCACTTTAGAGCACTTTAGGGATGCCTAAAGAGATACTTCTAATAAACTTTCCTAAGATGCTGAAATGAAATGCACTTAGATGTTCCTTCAAGGCAGTGATTTATCTTTCTGATGCTAGTAAAGCAGTACCAAGATTACTGTTCTACCTAGGTACACAAATTAGTGATTTGAAATGATAGCTTTATCTACATAATTTTCAGATTACAGTTACTTAATAATCCGACTGACCGTTCGTTGCCAAGTTTTACTTTTTTGTTTAGTGATCCATCTGATATCCTTCCAAAAACAGGAAAGTGGCAAATTAAAGCTAATTTTAAACTTTTTTTAAAAAAAATCCATGTAAGCAATCTTTTGGTGTTTTTCAGAATTTTTTGAACATGTCGAATTTGGGGTCTCTATGAGTTTTTTTTTTTCTTTCATCATCCTTAATTTAAAAAAATGGCTCATGTTACTTTTGAGTTATTTATAACTCAAAAGCTGTCAACGCTGTAGGTTCACTTTGGAGAACTTTACTGTTGTTACCAAGATATTAGGATTAAATTTCACAAGTGGGAATACACAAATGCCATTATAGATTTCATTTGATAGATTTTCCCAAGGTCATAATGTCAAAGCAAAATTTAGCTTTCATGTGAAGCAGCCTTTAACAGCTGAGTTGAACTAGTTGAATGGAAGTTGGGAAGTGGAAGTGTGGGGATGTTGGATACTTGTTGAGTCAGTTTATCCAAAAAGTGGGGTCAAATGCGTAACTTAAAATGTTCTAAAATAAGTTATTGGTCAAGTATAGGGTTTGTATATTAATGATCTTTCAGGGGTAGTTTCTGATGAAATTTGGTGTGAAATTTGGTGATGAAATTTGAATGAACGTTCTAGACTACATCTTAATTCTCCTAAACAAAGTTAAGCGTGGTGATCCATACCTGTAAACCCAGCATATAGAAGTCTGAAGCAAGAGGATTGGGAGTTCTAATCTGGACTAAAGAGATCTTCCAGGTTGGAGCTAAGGATGTAGCTCAATGGTAGAGTGCATGCCTAGCTTGCATGTGGTCCTGTGTTCAATTTCCAGTGTGGTAGAAAAAAAATTCTCCCAAATTGTTTGCTACTACATTTATTCAGTACATATATTCTTTTAGTCCTCTTTTCATCATGGTTTGAAAGTTGCAAAAGCTGTTAAATGGTGTAGTCCTTAATTTTTACAGACTCACAGTCATACAGAAATTCTAAATAGGATTTCGTAGGGATACCAAGTAGGATTAGTACACTTTATAATATTCCACTTTGTTACTCTGTCTTGTGGAGATTCTATTTGACCTAGGAAAGTTACTTTCCACTGTTAAGAAATGAAGGTTTTGAGCTGGGAGTTTAGCACATGGATACAATCGTCTGCCAGGCAAGTGCCAGGTCATGAGTTTGATCCCCAGTACCAAAAAAAAAGAAAAGAAAAGAAAAAAAATGAAGATTTTAGGAAATCTTCAAATTAATGTAGCTGCTTCCAAGTTTATGATTTTGGTCAGTTGGCATCTTTATGAGCTTGTACAACAGAATCCATCTAATTGTGGTTAAAGAACCTTGGATGTATTGTTCCGAAAGGATGCTCTAGATTTGTAGCTATAAAATTGTTGAATGAGTAAAATGGTATTAAGTGCTCTTAATACCATTAGAGGAGACTATATGTTGGAAGATAAAGAATAAAGTGATTTGCCAAAATTTTGAAAAAGAAAGTATTTGAAAAAAGAAATTTTTAATTATGTTTGTAATTTACTACCTTGTTAAAGTGTATAAAATTAAAAAGGCACTTTAAAATTTATTTTTATCTACATTCCTAACTTTTGTGTTTTTTTGGTGATACTGGGAGTTGAACTCGGAGCCTTCATGGCGAACTATATATCCAGTCCCCCCTTTTTTTCCCAAGCCCTTTTTATAATTTTTATTTTGAGACAATCTCTCGCTAAATTGCCCAGGATGGGCTTGAAATTGCGATCTTGTCTCAGTCTCTTAAGGGCCGGGATTAGAGTTGTTTACTATCATGCCCTGCTCATTTCCAATCCTTTTAAAATTTCATTTTGAGACAAGATCTCATTAAGCTGCACTGTTGGTCCTCAAATTTGCAGTTCTGCCTCAGCTTCCTTGAGTAGGTGGGATTATACTTGTGGGCCACTTCAGCTGTCCATGCAGGATACTTTTAAATAACAAGTACCAACTGAAAGGGTCTCATTCCAATGTGTGGTTATGCCCTTATGAAAACTTACCCATTCAGTTAAAAAGTTACCTAACCACTTTAGATTGAATTGGCTACAGGGAGTTATTTGCTGTACTTTCAGGATGAGGATATTTTATCAGATAATGAAACCTATATTAAAACTGAACAATTGCAGCTTTAATTGACATTTGCCTTGAGGTATATATCTAAGCCAGACATAAATTTTCCAGTGGTTGTATGACTACATTAATTTTTAATGTAAACTATTAAATTATAATTGGATCTACGTCACAAATAGGTAAATAGGTGGTTGAGGTGAGGTATAATATAACTTGAGAATTGTCAGTGTTGAACTTTATTTCTTTTCTCTAGTGTCATAAGGAATGCTTTCGTTTGTTTGTTTGTTTTTTGAGACCATATCTCACTCTGTAGCCCAGGCTGGCCTTGAACTCCTGGTGATCCTCTTGCCTCAGCCTCCCTAATGCTGAGATTAGGTGTGTTTCACTTTAAGCAGTGGAATTCTGAGATGCTGTTTAAAATCACAGATTCTTGGGCTAGGTGTGGTGGTGCACTCTTGTAAACCTAGCACTCAGGAGGCTGAGTCAGATCACTGAGTTTGAGGCCAGCCTGGGATACACAAGGAAGTTCAAGACCAGTTTGAATTATACAGTGAGACCCTCTGTCAAAAAACAAAACAAAACAAAAAAACCCCACATTCTTAGGAAAAACTTTATTATCTTTTAATGATAATAGCACAGATTAATATGATGAATAAACTTGATGCCACACATTGGTGACAGTTGAGACAGCGTAACACAGAAAGTTACTGTGCACTGGCTATGACAGGAAAGGTGTGAAATGTAAGAGTGTGTTCTAGAGAAGACAGGCACGAGGGTAGAATTATAATGGGAGTCCTGTGGGAATTTTATGAATTGGTAGTAAGGAATGGTGACAGTATGTTCCCCAAGGTGTAACATCAGAAGATGTTACAGACAAATGTAATTTGAGTTTAAGGTTGCAATAGGCTAATTGACTTTATTAGGAACCGCATATTTTAATGTTTTCATATACTCTTGTGTTACAGAGAATGGAGTATAGTGAAATACATCTCCCTTAAACATGAATCATCAACAGTATTTTGATTTGGAGTTCTAGTAGTCAGTTTCAGAATAGCTGTAGTACTTTTTAGGACAAGGAAATGTCTTTCCTGTTTTGGTTATAGAAACATAAAACAGCTGGGTATGGTGGTGTGTGCCTCCAATCCCAGCCCTCTGGGAGTCTGAAGCAGGATGCTCACCAATTTAAGATTAACCTGGGCAATTTAGCATTTTAACAGAGCTCCTAAAATGGCTGGGGATGTAGTTCAGTGGGAAGACTCTGAGTTCAGTTCCAGTACTGCCAAAACGGGGTTGAGTGGCATAAAATAGTGTACTAGTAGAAGGTACTTGGGTACTTTAGAAACAATTAGTATTAAAATTTATTAGCAGTGTGTGCAGTTCAGTTTGTATAGTTTAGGAAGAATATTTAAAATATTAAATTGGAACTAAAAGAATTTGCTAAAAATAAATAATAAAGAGAAAATTGTAGTGTTCTCAGATTGACTAGTGAAAGTAATCTAGGTAGGAATTTTAAGATATATTTTATTAAGAGAATATATTATTTGTTACATCTCCAGGACATATAAATATGTTTTTAGGTCAGAGGAAACTGATTACTAATAATTGCTTTATTCCTGATATTCACAAATAACTATGATTATCATATTGAGTTAAATAATCTTTCATTGACTTTATTTTAGGTAGGTTTTGTTAAATTAAGGTAATTACATAATGTTTTAAGTTTTTGATGTGCAGATAGATAGATTATTTTTAAAATACTCATACTGACAGTTCAAACAACCATTAATTAGAAATAGGTTTTTTAGTTTTCTTTTTTAGTAATAGTGAATAAGAGGATACTTCTGTTAGAGCATTATG